CGACACCCTGGTGGGTGAGGTCCGGCCCTGGCTCTGCCCTTGTCCCCAGCTGTCACCACGAACTCTGGAAGACAGAGCATGGGATGGACTTCTGACCGCCTGGAGAGCGAGCGCCGAGTAGCTCAGGAAGGCTAGACCTGCAGCTCCCGGGGCTTCTTCCTCAAGGACCCTTGGCCCTGCCGCCCACCCACAGAATAGTGGCATGGATTGGGGTGGGGGAGGTATTGCCAGACTCCAGGGTCCCCAAATTCCTGAGCTTAAAGGCAGTTTCCGTAACGCAATCTCAGGAGTCAAGGCCCAGGGCTCAGACTTGCCCCAGTGAAGTTCAAGATTCGCCTAGGTCCCCAGGATGCGCCCAAGGGTTTGCAGTGCTGGGTGGGATGTTTGCAGGCGGGTATTCCCTGGGGTGGTGTCCCCTTTGCATTTAGGAAATGACATCTCTTTGTTTGCAGTAGCCAGGCTTTCAGGGATAGGTGTCGCCGGCAGTTCTTCTCCCGGTTTCTATCTAGATAAAAGCCTTTGAGCATTTTCCCCATAGAATTCTATTTAAATGGCCTCTACTGTTTTCTTCTGTGAATCTTTTTATAGCTTCCGCTCCCGTTTCCATTGATGCCATATAGTTAAACCTCAAAGCAATCTGTGACCAGACTCCCCCTTCTAAACGGGAATCTGTTCTAATGCAGTTTTCCCCTAGTGATTGACATCTGTGTTTGTAAGGGTGTGGGCAGAACTGTTGAGAGCTGCCAAGCTACTGTTAAAAAGGCCAGACACTAGGCCAGAGTTTTACCCTTTTTTCAAACTGAATAAAGTCTATTGTAAAGGGATTACAATAGAAAAGAGTAGAACAGTGGTTAGAATTAACTTATTAATTCAACAAATATTTGTTGAGTATCTACTATGTGCCTGGCTCCCTCTAGTTTATTGCTGGCCCATAGAAATATAATAGCAATGTGTAATTTAAGTGTAGTAGACACATTTTAAAAAGAAACAATTCCAGGAAGTGATGGCCCATGCCTTTAATCCCAGCATTTGGAAAGCAGCGACAGGCGGGTCTCTGTGAGTTCGAGGCCAATCTGGTCTACAGACAGTTGCAGGACAGCCAAAGCTACAGAGAAACCCTGTCTCAGAAAACAAACAAGCAAAAAAGAAGAAGAAAAGAAAGGAAACAGTTGAAATTAAAAAGTTATCTCTTTCAAGCTGATGTCCAAAACATTTTAAACTGATTCATTTAAGTGGTCAAACAATGTTTTGGAGA